TATATATATATATATATATATATATATATATATATATATATATATATATATATATATATATATATATATATATATATATATATATATATATATGGCTTCCTCCTCCAAGAATCCATTCAAAAAGTTCAAGAAGTTCATTCTCAAGAGTGTAGTTGCACCGATGAAGAAACTTCAAGAGAGCCTCGATGATCTCTCCGTTTGGATGAAGAAGATGGAAGACCATGAGGAGCGCCGAAAGCAAAAAGAGGATCGTGCTTCTAGACGCACCTAAGTATTGAGCATTTGACAAACATGATCAAACATTGTCTTCTTTATGTTTAAAAACCATTATGTTTTTGCTTTAAGTTTCAAAACTCATTGTTATGTCTTATGCTTCAAACTCGTATTTATGCACTTTTATGATTCAAACTCCTTTGTTATGCTTATGGTAACTCGTATTTATTTATGCACTTTTATGTTGCGCTTTGGTGAATGCCTATGAAATTGTATATGTGTTGTAGCTTGTGTTTTCCTACCCTGCCTTTTTGAACGTTGGGAAAAGGGGGAGAACTATTAGGCTTTCATGTGCGTACATTTAGGGGGATTTTTGTCAAAATCTTAAGTGCATCAACTTAGGGGGAGTTTTAAAATCAAATATGTTTTTCACGATGTGTTTGTGTGTTTGCTTATCATATTTGAAAGCCTTATTTGTCAACATCAAAAAGGGGGAGATTGTTGGCCTTGAATGTCATACCCCGTAACCGTTTTGATGAGCCAAATAAGTCTTCCAATGCTACTAACACCATTTGAAGGAAGAAACCAAACGCCAAACCTCTATTAACTTGATTAGCATCACCGAGATGTACTCCTACGAGTTTAGAAATAATTGTGTAAAGGTAATGATATATTTAATGATTTACTTATGCCCTTTCACTCAAAATATTATTTCTAAAATGTCAAATATATTCTTAGTTGGGGTTATTTTGAAAATGGAACATAAAAATCATGTTTTGGAAAATATCACAAGACCCACGGTACGTGACTACCGTGTTCACGGTACCAGGGTACCGCCAGTAGCCAAGTGAACGTACCGCTTTACATTTAACTTTGGTGGTACACGGTACCCCCTATCGTGGTCACGGTACCAAGGTACCGTCGGTAGGCTGGGAAATGATAGGCCTAACCGTTTGACCCTAGGTTCCGCCAGAGCCAAATAGATTTCATGGGCTACACGGTACCCCTTGCGGTATGCTATACCATGGTCACAGTACCTAGGTACCGGACGGTACTACCCCTACCATAAAGGGTACCGGATCCGTTGTAATCACTGTAGCAACTCTCCAATTAAAATTAAAATTAACCAAAATCATTCCCCAACGGTCTTCAACGTTAAAAACCCATTTTTTAACCTTCCAAACTCCTATATAAACCCCCTCTAAGTCTCATTTATGATACAACAACTTCCCAACTATATCTAAAGCCTATTTCTCTATTTTTGAGTGTTTCTTAAAGCTTTGTTCATATTTTTCTCATTCTTTTGAGCATAAAGCTTTCATTATTCTTATACACTCACACACAAGGGCATTTGTTACTCATTATTTTATATCTTGCCTATAGGCTTTTGTTGTTGTTGATTTGATATTGCGTTCTTCTCCTACCCAACTCATATTGGTTATCATTTTGGTAGAGAAGTAACAACAATCTTTTATTGTTTTGTAAAAGGTGTGGATAACCTTTAAATGCTCATTGTAAGGTTGAAGATAGCCTTTAAATCTTCGGTTGTAAACGGTTAAGATAGCCGGTGTAAAATCTCATTAGCTTATTGGCAAGGGTTGTTTGCCAAACCTCATTTGAGTCTTCTTAGTGAAGCCAAACAAGTTAGTGGAGGTTAAATCCTTGAGGAAGAGCCTCGAGGTACTGGAGTAGGGTGTTCCCAAACCAGTATAAAATTGATTGTGTCGTATTTCTTTCTTTTATAGTTTTCTTGCTCTTTTTCTGCTACTACTTTGCGCCTAAGTTTTTAATTTACGAAAAACTTTCAAACACCCTAATTCACCCCCCTCTTAGGGTGTAACCAACTTTCAATGACACCCTTGATGCAAAGCTGCACCAATCGGGGCTTTGGCCCTTCGTCTCCAAGTCCCGGAAGAACTTCAATCCGTCGCTGGTTCGAGCATTCTACTTGAACCTCTAGCGTGACGGAGACGTTCTCTACAGCGTGGTCAAGAGCAACTCAGACGGATCGCCATGTTTCCCTATCAAGGCGGCGTAATCTCCACCTACGGCGGAGAAGACTGGGTGAACAACAACGAGGGGTTGGTCATCACCAAACTCGGCATCACCAAACTCATCCGCCATGCCACGGGCCACCCCACAGTCCACTCTGCTACCCCCGAGAGCGGACTACTTCTCTACATCGTCTCCCGGATACTCAAACTTCAGAATGGTAGTCACGCAATGATGTCCGGTGAGGATCTCAAAATCCTCCACGCCATCATGCATGCTGCACCGGTCAGCGGGGCCAAATTCGTGATGATTGACATGACTTACGCCTCCACCCTCACCCCCGACCACATTTTGCCCTACGTGTTCTTGGTGATGGATATTCTCGAGCGCGCCAATATCACCGTCACTCTTGGGCCTCTCACCAAGGCCACGAAGATTTGGACGATCCACGACTAAACCTTTAAGAAACGGTCGGACACTGTTGCCCCTACCCCACGCTGCAACACTGCCACAAGGAATGCCCCGCCGCCAGCCTGAGCCACCCTCTCCTCCATCGCCGACTCCCTCAACCAATTGGCTCTCACGGTCGACTGGATGGGTGGTTACCAGGAACGCATCGACGAGGCAGTTCAACGCCAAGGGTACGCCATGAACGCGTACTTCCAAAGTGTGAACTACATTCCTCCGTCGTACCAAGCCACGTTTCTTGGCCAAGTGTACGGTGATGATGAGGAAGGGGACACCTCCTACACTCCGTCAAGCTCCCCGGACGAGGATGAGTTTGAGGATGAAGTCGATGGCGATCCAATAGGCGTTGAGGATGACGAAGAAGACGAAGGCGAAGAAGAAGAAGAAGACAAGTAGGCCACCGCTCCTAGAATTTCTGTCCCTTTCTTTTATCTCTTTTATCTCTATGTTTTTTTAATCTTGTTATTAATGCTTTCGTTGTACTGCACATTTTCCTAAATTTAATAAAATTTATGTTTGAAAATCTTTTTGTT